TAATACAGGAGATCATTCCTCGATAACAGACAAGTTATATTCTTATTTCTCTTAAAGGGACCAAGAAATTGTTCATACATGAAAGCAATGTATTTTTGAATGTAGCCTGATCAGCAACGGACTGGATGGTTTGGAAAAACTAGGGCACTAAGATAGTACGATTTATCGTGTAATGTGTTCTTTACTTATGTAATCCCGGCGTAGTGTATGGTAACAAACAAAAAAATAAACGTACATCTTGTATTATTCCTCAACTTTTCCATTTTGCTAGGAAGATCATTTTCAGGAGTAAGATGGCTTATGTAACATGCAGGATGGTTGATAGAATGTACATAACTCAGAAAGGAGCGTGACATATTTTACTACTCACTTAAACTGGTGCTTGACATTAATCTGAACTTCAATTCTTCTTTCGTTTCCTACGAGCTAACCCATCCTCACAGGCGTGAATCAGTGATCATACAATGGCATCTACTCTAGTAGTTCTCTGGTCAAATCATTCTTCAGTGTACTACTTATATGTCAAATAGTAAATTGTTTTTTACTTTTCCAATACAAGATATGGGATTTTTTATGTACATACAAAGCCTTGTAAAAGTCATTTCCAATCCATCAATCCTGATATATTTTTTCCAAGGTTTTGCGACGCTCCAACAAGTTGACGTAGTAGAAAGGTTCCATTGGACCAATCAGAAGAGTAAACAATTTTCACAACTTATCCTAGTAGTGTTATTGCTTGTTATTGCTAATGCGTCCCAAATAGGACGAAATGCACATCATGGACTTCACTGCTAGCCACTGCCCACCATTACTATGTATAGTTATCCTAGTAGTTTGAAATTCTCGTGTGTATTGCTCTTCATCATTCACTTCCTTATTCTTCCAATAGATCTCTGGTCTCCTTTTTGATCATCTTTAGAAATGCCAGTCACAGAGTTAAACTTGGGCGCTGCTGTATATTTTATTTCTATTTTAGTTTGTTACTCAAATGTGTCTGACAGTGAAATATTGTTTCTTAATATATTACATTTTGAAGTCAACTTATTATCCATATTCATATCAGGACAATTAATTATGTTTGAAATGTCGTCCAGTAAATAATACCGTTCCACCATGTGACAAATCTAATAAACTATGGTGGAGTAAGCGAGTTCATAACCATATCCTAGTTCATATCCATCAACTTTACGATAGCTAGTAATTAGATGTTTCATCCTTTGAAACATAATTATGTCATATTACAGTCTAACCGCATCACTCCACAAACCCATTCAGTCATCATCATCATTATTATCACCATCGCAATACTAAATTTTTCATCAGAGCATAATGTCGTATATCAAAAATCCTTCAATTTATCAGAAAATGTCGTACTGAGAACAAGCTTCTACTTTTTATTCTTCAGTTAATTTGAAAAAATCCTTACATTGAGCTAAATACTTCAGTGCGTTAGAAGTGCATCTTCCCCCTCTGAACCGTGCTTCTGAAAATTTAAAACTGTATAGTGGTAGAGCTGCAGGTTTTCTAAGTAAGGATAGCTAGTGCATGAATGTCCATATGAATACCGAAATCTACCTATACCACATGATACTTTTGTGAATATGATAACTCTTTTCATTACTCAGATTGTAAGTGGAGTTGAAACAAAGACTAGCATAATATCAGTCTACTAGGCCATGACCTTTTTATATAGTTTTAGTGGCAGATACTGAGAAGCCCTTCGTTTTTATGAATGTTGGGAGTAACCAAAAGCATCCTACATGCTGTTTAAAAACACTGATAAGGCGTTACATCGTATACCAGTATGCATCTTAAGAAACAACCTTCAAAGAAATCACAATTGTGTTCTGTGTCAAACAACCGATTCCATTCTTTAGTTGAATAGATCCTTAAGCTTTTAAAGCTTATCTACTCATACGAAAAAGTCAAAGACCTCTGCTAGAATGAAGATTGTTTAATTTTGATCGAGATTTGTTAGTGAAAAGCAAGTAGAGTTCTAATAATCTTAAGCAAGTAGGAAAAGCTCACATTAAAATTCTTCTACTACTTCCTTTTTACACACAAACAATGGAATGACTTATTTCTCAATTTATCAGTCAAACAATTTATATTTACTGTTTGCGTAGCCTTTGACATAGTTATCTGTATGTTCTCATTATCTTTGTTTTCTGAATTTTTCCACAGCAATTCACTTGAGATCGGTTCAGTACAAAAAGTACAAAATATGTTCAAACCTATCCATCTGTAATATCTTTGTTAGCAAGTTTAACAAATACTTTTTAAACTTAAAATAAGCGCGATTGAAGATAATTGATCATTAATAATCTGTTCAAAAAGCTTCCGAACATTTTTATTGAATAAAGAGAAATTATTCCGAAGCTTAAAGGGTAACTAAAAATTTAATCACTGCGTAAAAATGACATTATTTAAATAACCTTTTTCCTGCCATCAAAAATGAAGTTAAATCCGCTTGATTATGCCATAATATATCAACGGAAAAAATGGTGTTTCTAGTGATGATTAGATATCCTTTAAACAATACATTTCACTTAGAAACGTTGTTTAGTATTATTACCTCTTGAGTTAGTCGTTATGTGAGACAGTTTGACCTTATTCTACGTCTTGGTGCTCTTCATCGAAGTAAATTCAAACTGACTGGTGATTGTCGAATACCATGTTGTTAACTGTACCAAATACACATACAGATCTTCCATAGCTTGGCTAAAAAATGTGTTTAACAATCCACAGCTACTTGGTGGACCTAAGAAATAAGTTTTAGGGTACATCAAATTGAAATCTTTTGAAATATATGTGAAAATGCTTACGAATGGAACCAGTATTTCGGTTTATAATTTCTGAGATGAAAATAATACTAGAATAATGTACCGATGTGCATCATAGTAGTAGTCGGTTGTATTATGTTCTCTGAACTGGGTAGCTTAATCAAGAAGCGTTCATTATCTTTCTAGACAATATCATCAAGGTCATCCACTTAAGCTACAAATATTCTCCATTTCAGGGGCGTAGTTGGTGAAACATCTAACAGAGGCTTAATGATGCTTTTTGTTTCCACACCAATTTATTTTACTTCAAGTGAGATACATATTTGTTAGTCACATGTCCGTAGTTGTCCAGACGTGTGCCTAAATTAGCACAGGTAAGTGTTGTAGTCCTTTCAGGAGACATTTTAGTCGGACGTTTAGTATTTACTTAAAGAGTCAGTCAATGGGAGACCCTTCTTGCACTAACTTCGTTGCATATTGGCAGCCTCCAGTTTGGGATACTTGTGAGCTGAAGGAACTTGAACCTTACTAGTGGTTCTTACGTGAGTGATTCTCTGCCTTGGAAACAATTGTCAATACTGAGTGAAAGGACATGGAACCAAAAACATGCCATTCTTACGAGCTGTTAAAACGTGTAATGAAAGGGTCATAAATTACTTGGGAGAGTTTTCAATCTGATTTTGTGCTGCATTTTCAAAGTATTCAGCCATACAATCTCTGAAACACTGGTTGTTTGAAACAAAGACTATCAGGCAAGATAAAACACAAACTCCATATCCAGTGGTTAGGTTATCTGTATCTAACCTAGTATAAGTCGAAGAAATTACATCAGATTACAGTGAAAGCAGTTTATAAGAACTTTATTTTAATATTTAGGAAGGGTTTTAGCATCCTGTGACTATCCCACGATGCGAAAAAATAAAAAAATTTTCTGAATGCTTTATACAACAGTCTTCAAAGAACTGATAACTACTGGACAGGTAACAGATCAGCATAAATTGCAAATTTCTCAGATGAAAATCACCTCTTATAAGAGTGTGAGAAAACTAGGTTCTGCGAATTCACCAAGTACGGAGTATTCATAGCATACATTTAGATTTTGAACAACACGAGTAACTTTGGCTATTTTTTCAGCGCTTAGCGTAAGTTTCGCTTTGAATTCACAAATGCTTAGAAATTAAAATAATTTTAACTGACTATTTTCATTCAAAGTGATTTATTATACTGATCTAACAATCCAAAAGTAGGTGGATGCTTCTTTTAGTCAGTCAGTCAATTAACACCAAAGCGGGACCTGACATTCCTGTGTATTGGTTCAAGTTGCTATATCATATTATATCAACACCCTAGAGGGCACTGAGATGAAATATAAAGGGATAGGAAAGTTACCATTACAATTCAAAAGCCATTTGAGGGAACAAAGAGTATTCTTTTCGATAACATCTTCAGGTACTGCAGTTATGTGTACATGTCGACGAATTACGCATCGGCGATATAGAGATTTCGCTTATCAGTTTGTTAATAATATCATACAGCTGAGGAAGTCAATTAAGAAAAGCTATGTGTGAAGGTTTATGATGAAATCAACTGTCACTAAGATTCGCTTTTTTAAGATAATCAATTATTCTGAGTTTAATCCTAGTAACTCCATCATAAACATTTACACATTTACACTTCCTCAACTATATAATATCACCAACAAACTGATAAGCGTAATCTCTATATAGATGACGCGTAATTCGTCAATATATATACCTAAATGCAGTAACTGACGATGTTATCGAAAGAATACTCTTTATTCATTCAGACAAGAAAGTACCCAAAGTGTTAGAAAGTTGTGGAGAAAGAAGAAAAAGAATGGAACAACGGTAAAATTGGATATTGCAATCAAGAAGATCATCTGCAGTGAGGTCGGTTTTCAATTATGAAATAAAGAGTGTCTAACCACCAGTTTAGTTTATTACCTTAACCCCAAACTAAAGGTCTGCATTTCCCCAAAAGACTTGAATGATAGACTTCATGGACTGAACACTTTCTGGTGGGGACTTCTGTAACCAAAGGAATTTTTAGTGACAACGCTGAATGATAGGTTAAATGGAAAGGTCAAGAGAAGGCACAATTATTTAGGTTCTTATTCACATGTATACCAGAAAAGCAACAAATGAACAGATAAGACAGATAAACTGGTTAAAATTGAGGTGAAATAAGAAATCTTACCTCTTCCCATTCACTGACGTAACGAACTAGTCGAGACAATCTTAGAAGTCTGATCAAACTCAACAGTTTTACAAATCGTAAAAATCTCAATGCACGGCCTACAAAGAATAAAAATGCAAACATTGACATAAAACTGATAAATGACTATTTTGCGTGGTATACTTTAAAGTTATCTAATCAAATCATCGAAAGGATATTCTAGAGTGTATATTTAACTCTGTATTATTGAAACTGACAAATTTGCAATTTTGCGAAAATTTTCAAGATTTCGACAGTGTATATTTCTTCCTATCATTTTTACATACGTGTGAATTTCGTAGGTTAACTAATGGTAAAAATGACATTAAGCGTGATCATAGCCAATATTCTTCATTGAGTAACTCAAAAAGTAATCAACAAATGCCTACGGAAGAAGCCAGAAGTTCGAATGCTATGCTATAATTGTTCTTAACCACTTTGATAGACGCTATTCTTAATATCAGTGTTCATTTTGTCTTAAGTTGAAAAAAGAAAGTGAGACAAGCAAATTCTTTCAAGAATCTAGTGTGCTAAGCCATGCAACTTTATAAAAAGTTACGGTTCCTCTATGCCTTACTCCACGCAGTTGTCTTGATCAAACCAAAATGATGAGTGGAATACTTTGATAAATTTCTTAAAAAGGCTATTTTACTCCAAAAAAGAAACTATATATGGGCTCACAAATAAAAATTTTAAAGTATTAAATATCCAATCCTCTCAATAGCGAAAATAATTGGTCTCTGATAATTCTATATACAGAACTTTGTTTGATATTGTTAACTTTTATAACCTAGGTGATGATATCGCATGAACGACTACACCTAAGTTCCCAGTGCTTCTCATTTCACATTTCTAGATTCAACACACTTTATAAGTGATACATAAATGGATTTAGTCAGGAATAAATTTTGCATAAAATGTATGGTGATTTGAGTCACGATCTTTCATCCTATTTAGTTGTGAATATTTAAGAATGCTTAGCAAAGGGTTTTAGTAATACCAACAATTTGCATGAAATATAGTGGAATGGACACTGGATCACATCAGCAAGAATTCCAAATTTATTATTTTATTTTCAGTGTTTACTACAGACATATATATAATAATACTGTGTTCAGAATATTTGTATAGCGTGCTTGCTTTGCAGTGAAACTTTTTTAAACTTGTTACAGAATCTCTGTTTAGTCTGGTAAATTTACAAGTGAAATAAATTGCGTAATATCGGCTATAAAAGTTTTCTGACATGTTTTTAAGTTACAAGTTTCCCATCCAACCCCAACTAGTTCCAATCTTTTGGCAATCGCCACTCAACAAGTTAGAAATGAAGCGATTTTTTCCCAAATCTAAGGATCAATTCATGATACGATTGGGATCTGGGTGGAGATGAAATCATATGCAACATCCTTTTGGTCTGGAAATTAGATCTTTTGATAATTACCATTCTTCCTTTTTCTAAATCCTTATAATAATCTGGTTTTTAAATACGGATTCAGTCTTAGCAGCTGAATGTTTTTGTTTAATAATCCTTTCAGAAATACTGATTGTAATTGTCTATTAAAACATCAGACTAAACATAAGTAGTAGGTTTCTGCTGTTTGCATATTATTCATTTAATGGTTTGAGTAGCTACTCTTAATGACGACGACCATCTCCAATTAAACATTTCTACATACCTTCTTTATTGAATGCAACTACATGTTGTATGATAAATCAACTTACTTAAAAAGTCTGACGTGTGAAACTACCACTGAAATTCTGAACTGCTAACTCGTGTCACATCAGCAAAAGCCTTTAAAATGGCAAGCGATCGTAAAAAAAGATGGTTCACTCTCGTTAAAAACAAAATGTCACCTATAACGTCACTCATGTTTATTTATTCTATGAACTTTATTTGATAAGCACTAAACTATGTTATAAAATATCGCCAAGGTAACTAGTTCACTAGTTACTAGCCAGCCCTAAGCCCAGATAAAGAGGGAAGGTTCAGAATACAGCTAGCAAACCTACACCGGAAAACCGGTCCAATCGCTAAAAAACTTCAAAGCTCAAACAAAATAGAAAAAGACTTATCTCTCGCCGGAATCGGAGAGACAGCATGATGCCGGTTGGTTGAAGCCCCTGGGAAGCCAGTCAGACGATGTAGCTCCTCTCTCTCGATGAAAGCGAAAGTAAGGATGCGGAAATGGAATGTCCGAACAATGTTTGAAGCTGGCTGACAAGGCTGCCCAGATTGCAAAAGAGATGAGAAGATATGCCATAGAAGTGCTAAGAATCTGCAAGGAGTCTGCAGATTGAATGGAAGTGGACTCTCCAAACTGTCAACTGAAGACAGGAATCAATTATCTACTCCGTTATTGTCACACAGACGACACGACACAACACGACAACCACGAGCACAGCACACTGAGTTTTCCAGTGGCAATCATGATGTCCCCCACACAATCAAAGGCTTTCTCCCAACCAGTGGGAATCAATCTCCTCTCGCAAGATCAGGATCATGAAAGCAGATGGATTCAACTCAAAAGGAAGGAAAGTCACAATACTACAATGCTACACTACACACCTACGAATGATGGACATGAAGAGTAGAAGGAGGAATTCTACAGACAACTGCAATCAGTACTGGACAAGACTCTACCCCAGTTGGTGACATCGAAATCCATTCTAATGTGTGGGATGACATGAATGATAAACTGGGAGTGGACAACACAGGAAGAGAACTCATCACGGGTCGAGAAGCACTCGGTGAAATGATGAATGAGAATGAAGAACTGCTTACAGATTACTGCGCATTCAGTGATTAAGTGATTGGAGGCGGGTGTTCAAACACAGGGATATTCACAAGGCAGCGACATGGATTTGATTTCACCAGACACCACACCAGGACACAATATACTGAAAATCACATCCACTTCATCTCAATGTGAAGATGAGTGGAGATGCAGACGCAGCCTACTTGACAAAGGATCAGATGAAGAAGGGGAGCAGATGCAGGGTCACACCACTCACCGTCTAGGGCATGCAACCTACCTCCATAATCAACTTGAAAGCCTCCACAGAAGCTGGTTATGATAGACCACAGTTCCAGTTCAACACCAAGAACTGAAACTGAACTGAAGAACGAAACTACAAACGACGTCTTCACGTCAGTCATCAAGACGAGCTGGGAGACATTGAGCAACATGCCTGAAGAAACCTGTATGGAAGAACACTGGAACTGTTTGACAGCCGTGTAGAAAGAAACCTACATAACCGTGTTAGGAAGGAGGAGGAGGAGGAGGAGGCAAGACAAGGAATGGATCTCGACGGACACATGGGAGCTGATAGAGGAGGGAGAGGAAGATGATTATGGTGAGGCCGAGGATGAGTCAGTGCAGTGCAACGATGCACAACGAAAAGAGGAACTGAGTACAATGTATACAGTGTACAGTGGCTGAGGGAGTGAGGAGGAGTGGGTGCAAAGACAAAAGACACTTCTACGACACACTGGCAAGTGAAGCAGAACAGGCTGCAGGCTGTAGGTAGGAGAGACACAGACCTGACAACACTGTATCGAATAACCAGGTTACTATCTGGTAGGGAAGAGATCAACTCAGATGAAACCAAAGAAGGATGATGAAGGAAACCTAGTTACCAAAGAGGACAAACAAAGGAAACAATAAGCTGAACACCTCAAAAAACTCTTCAACCGACCATCACCTATGTTTTGCTCCTACTTATTTTTCTCCATTACACTTTCCTTAACTCGGTAGAAAAGACCACGCCGTATTGCAAAGGACTTTCAAGGACTACAGACATTCATCAACAGCTGACACCTATGCTGGCTTGTTACTGAAGATCAGATGCATTGCCAGAATAATAAGAATATGAAACAAGGATTTCACTCCGGCTGACTGGCAATGAACCAACCAGCAAACCACTGCCCAACAAATATGCAGAAGACAGTGGTGATGGATTGGATTGCACATACACTGAGATGACCGACTGGGGACATCACGCGCCAGGCCCAGACCCTTGAATGGAAGCCAGATGGGAAGCGATGAGTTGGGCGTCCGAGGTGAGGGTGACATGGAGGAGATCATGTGAGGAGGAAATGAAAGCTTGTGAGCAGTGGTGGAGCCAGGTTGAAAAGATAACAGAGACGGGAGTGAAATGGCAGTGTGCTACTGAAGCCTTAAGTTCCACTAGTAACCCAGGGGACAAAAAACAGTGAAATCTTATTGTGTAATTTTACTTTGAATGTAATATGCGACTGCAGTCAAACGATGAAATTTTCATTTGGTCAACTTCAGTTTCATTGTAACTGTCGGGAGGTTACAGAAATAATTTTAGACTGGTTTATACTTCGGTCTCTACTATACCAGCTTTGATTCTGAAACTGATACAGAATGCCAGGTACTCGATATTACCAGAATATAAGAACTCACTAGTAACAGACTAAGAATATGCTTGAAACAGACATTTTGACAGAATTTGCCACTTTGAGAACCACTTTTTTATCAGTCAGTCGTTTCTACGTCCACAACCACTGAATGTTGTCAAAAAGCGGTGCATTTTTTAAACTGAAAGTATAAATTTAAACTACACAAAGAACTATTTCACAGAATGTTATGAAGTTCTTGTAGATGACTAATAACTTCAAGGTTCCTTTGTGTATTTCTTCAGAAAGCTTAACCCCTTTGAGTTACATTTTTATATATGTAGAATATGCATTGAAGATGACTTGAGACTAAAGAGAAACATTTTTCATTAAAACCGTGTAAAAAAACTGCTGCAAATACACTTATGACTCAGGTTATTAGTTCCTATATTTTCCAAACTAATGCATATGGTCTGCCCTCATTGATATCCTATGACTAGTTTTTGGTCGGAAAACCAAATCCATACACTAGCTGGGAAAACTGGTTATCTGCTTAGAAAAATGTAGATTCTTCCTTTTTCTCCTCCACATTCCTACGTGTTGTATTTGAGTAAGGCTTTGTGTTCTGTCCTAGATTTTTCTGCGAATCGAATACTCCTTCTTTTATTTCTAAGTAAACTAAATAGTTGGATGCTAACAAAACTTTTCTTATGATATGTTAAAGTATAAGACAGGATTCATTACGACCTCTTTCAACAATGCAAATGCACTGACAACTAGAAATTTATAGGAACTTCTCTATACTGCCCTTTCAGAACTTCTTACGCAGTTTAATTCAGTATGTCCTGAGCTGTCACTATCGAATACTTCCAGCTATTCCACCTTTATCAAGGGAAGACAGAAATGTGTTCGGTTAGCCACTAGTAAATTTAATATAAATGCTAATACTGGCATCGTTAGGTAACCAATACATTTAAGAAATAGGAATAAACCTATTCGAAACTTACCAGCGTGTACAAATTGTGTAAAATTCTCATTATCATGTAATATGAGGTAAATGTAATCCAAAGGTAATGAACTTAATAAATCTAAAAGGAACCAAGTTTTCAAATATTGTCGAGCTATTTCTTTGGGATTGAGCATAATTTCATCAGCAAAATTGTTTTTAATGATCCCTATATGGGAAAAACAAAAGTAGTCAAAAAGGAGATAGACAGATAGGAGCAAATTATGCAAGAAAATTGAATGTACACAATTTCTTCCTGTCCTCGTAAACATATTTTAAACAGAATACAAACAGTCACGGTTTTTAGCAAACTACACATGTTTCCTTTTATTGTGCAGAATTCATTAATCAAAGACTAGACAAATTGTATCCATAAATCTATTATTTTGTTGTTAAGGTTCTTACATTATATTATATTATATATTACTGCTAACACTGTTACTCAGATCTTCAACTTTTAGAAGCTGTTTTCGTATAGACCTAAAGGGGGTAACGATTTCTTTTGAGGTGGACAATAAGAGGCGACTTTAAAGACCACCCTAGTAATTTTGGCTGGAGGGGCAGATTTTCATAAAATAGAGAAGTCTGATTGGTTATTCGTTGCTAGGGTGGCCTTTAAGTTGCCCCATAATAAGTATATATACGTATATATTCACCACTGATTTTTTTCTTACCCCTTTCTTACTCTTCATCCTTTTCATATGTTTACTATATTTGTTTAGGCTTTGTTTATTCATTTATCTCGTCCTTCAGTATTACGTAATTTTTATTTTCCCAATCTTATAACTCACTTTTATTATCAGTGTTTACATTTTCATAATGCTGTCTTGGCTTTTATCATCATTATCATCTAAATTGTAATTCTGCATACAGAAGGCAAATCAATAAAATGTGGAATGTGAATAATAAACAGTATGCTGTAATATTTTCTGTTTTGACTAACTTAAGACAATAAACATTATACATTAACTTAGGGCTGAGTATTTTTAACCAATTTTATTAGATAATAAAGTTTATAGCGCAAACAGTATGAATGTTTTATCAAAATATTCCGGTATCACAGTCAACATATCCGTCCTCCGGCTAAAACTTTACGGACCAAAATAATTCCTTTATTAAACATCACTTAAATCCCATTAACCGTACTGTTAAGTATAAAAATTAGATTCACTAATGTAAGCTAATAGTGGCTCATGTTTATTTCACCTATGACTTCAAGAAGCTGAATCCAAAAACTGCAGATGTCTTACCTTTCCACATAAGATCCTTACTAGTGCTAAGCTAAGTCTGAAAAACCCAAACCAAGCATCTCTAGTTGGCAAGAAAATTGACGTTTAGCCTAAATTAAAGAAGGTAACAAGTTGACTGAAGCCCTCTAATACACTAAATCTACGGACTCTGCGAAATCTACAGCAATTAAACGAGTTTACTATAACTTACTACTATTCAGAATTGATTTCATATTATACATATTATATATGTATATATTATATATTTCTTCCAGTCTTCAGTGAGAAGGCTGCATTTTTTTCTCTTCCCTGTTACATTAATCAGGTCGACACTTCTAGGTTATACTGTTTCATCTCAAATTCACCTTACGGACCGTTAATATACACAGACAATTTGCATATTTATATTTATTCTGTTATACTTAAACGAAATCCCAAATCTAATGTTTCTGAGATTATAAATGGTTTCGGGGGCTTCTGGATGGCGACATTGTTTTAGTTATTTGTCTGAGGAGTTTCCTTCCTATGAGTAGAAAATCAGTTTTCCAGTGATTTGGAAGGAGTTAATCTGACTGGCAACGTTTCCTTTGTGGATAATTTATCATGTGAACATAAATACAATGAATAAAAGATTCAGATGTAAAATGAGTAAAATGTTTTAAGATTACTGAGTCAACATTAATTTTCTCAGAATTCGAACGTACACTTTACTGATGAGGGCCAAAAAGTACTAGACCTTAGTTCAGAGTTTCTTTCCGGTGAAGTATTAATATTTAACACTAACAAACATCCACTGTAAAATGTTTCAATTAAGAATTATGTTGATGGTACTGGCCTCAGTGCTGCATTGGCAAATCGTACTGCATACAGAAAAAGATATTACTCAGGCTGAATCAACTTAACCGAAGTATTAACCAGTATCCATTTTAGATTTCTAAGCAGATAAATCATTGTGAAACTTCACTTATGAAGGTAAAAATACAGACTATAATATAACATTAATTTTGATTTAGGTTTTTTAATTTATAAAGTAATGAAACATCCTATTTAATTTTATTTTTCATCTCACATCATCTGCTCCTCAAATTTCGCTTCAGCAAGAAAATTGTCCCTGCTCTTTTTGAATGACATATTTAATTCAGTTGTTTGATAAATTATCAAAAAGATACTTTCTCTTACTCAAGTATTAATTTTCAGACAGGAAACCCGGGGAATAATTATTCATACATAAGTCTAGTAAATTGGTTTCTACTTTGCAGTGGTAAATTGCAGTGTTTTATAGCAGTTTTTGATAACTGTCACTATCATACCTACATTGTAAAAAGCTAGGGAACAGTAAAATAATATTTCGTTTTGATTTCAATAATTTCAGCATTAGTAACTTCTTACCATTCCTGTGTAAAGATCGCCCCGACCAATAGCTGCTGACTTGACCCGGTGGTCTGACTTGCATATCATAATTACCCAACGAGCTACACTGGTGCAACGCTTGTTCTCTCGAGATTGCACTGCACCAGAAAAATCAGCTGGATACTTCTAAGTCAAATAGCAGTTGCTGCCATAGTGTACATCACCACCCAACATTTGTTTCACTTTGGTTTGGAACTGCTTATAAAATAGCACCCACAACTTTCTGAGCGATCGATCTAAGAACTGTCAGATTTTGCGGTCAGTACACTAATCAGTGACTTAGAATCTCGGAGTCCCCTTTTTCTAACTTCTATCCATTTAAGATATAACACGACCATTATCTGATGTTATGTATGAGTTTTTCTTCATCTGAATGACGTGATTTGGGTCTCTATGTAGAAGGTTCAGTATAAGAATACATTATGTGATAGGGGCTAGTGAACACTCACTCGTTGCCTACCTAACAAGGTAAATTCATCTTGAACTGAACTACAAGTCTTTGTTATGCTAAAGAGGGGTCTTAGCTAATGAATGTTAACAACTGCTTCCAACTTAGTAGGTTCATAGCAGTTTACAAAAAAAACATCTTAGTAAAAAGTTCACCCTGAGGGTTTAAGTACAGATATCAGAGGTTGGCATTTATCGACTTTTTAACTAAATAAAGTACAGGAAACTGTGCTCTCCGAAATAGCCACTAAGAGGCCTAGTAATTAGTTGATAAGACTTGCTAATAAAAAGTTTCACATAAGTGAAACTGCTACTTGATGTTTTGTGCAAGTCGGTAATTTTTCAGTCAACAGCAAGACATTAAACAGCCTAATCTGGCTTGATTTCACGTTAAACTTAATTGTTCATATATTGTGTCATATCTAAGAAACTTAGTCTTCGCTTATGAAGTTATGGGCATTCTTTAATAAAACAAGGCGAGAAAGACAGGATATTTCAGAATAGCGTAATTATTACTTTGAAACTAATTACGAAATACCTCTCAATTTAGAGTTTTACCCTCATATTGCGAACGTCCACGGTTGTTGATAAGACGTCAATCCAAAAAAAACATCTTAAGAGAATACCAAACATAAATTCCTTTATGAAACATGCTTTTTCCACTACTTATGAATGTCTATATTCTCTGCCTCCCGTAAGTGATTGTGGCATCAGTCTCGTAATTAACTAAATTCTGAAGTGGAATTACAATCGTTAACAAATAATAATTGAACCCGTTGCACAAGAGGAGGCTGTCATGACTCAGTGACCTGGAGGACAACTCTTTGGCCTTTGAAGCAACTGGTCCTGAGTTTCAATGTCAAAGAGAACTCCACCACTCACTGGGATGCAGATACATCCAGCTGACAAGCCTCAATTAGGACAGCACATGCACACTGAATTCCATTGCTAGCCAGGACCAAGTCAGTTATAACAATTAATATTCAGACACTATCAAAGCATACGCTCTGGAGCCCATTTGCCAGCATAGTTTGAATAATTCGATTTGTTATGATACAGGGGAAAATGAGAGTATCAACAGATAATAATGATTTTTTTATTATTGTCAAATCAGACAGTGATAATAGTGGAGGTGGTTATATTTTACTGACAATATTTCTAATAAATTGATATTTTGGCCTATTGTTTCTTATTGCTGATCGGTTTCGAACAATGTTGGCATATGCAAATAGATACCTTGCTATAGGTGGTAATTTCATTTTGATATCAAGAGCGACTACAAGACAGGAGCGAAATCCAGGAAGCATATTTTTCTTGGCAGCTAACAGGTATCAAACAGGGCAAAATTTTCTTCCTGAATTACACATAATCTCTGTCCATACTTAATATTTAATGATGTGCATGAGTTGTATCATACAGTAGTTCACTTTCTAACTAATTGTTTGATTTCAATTACACAAGTTTTCATTTTAAGTGACGTGATTGTTGCTTTCGAAGAAGACGTTTTGCAGCAATTAAAATCTTTTTTCTGTCTGGTGTTCATTAGGGACTGGCATCAAATAAAGAAGCATTAGAAACATAGAAGCACTGGACAGCCTTATGGTCCTTGTTTGGCACTCTATAGCAGTTCGCACCAATGATCCCGCGAAGGCCCGAACCAGTGGGTGGCTAGCTTCGAGATGCGATTCTGAAAGTTCTAGTGAGAAGTCGTGGTTGGTGAGGCAAACCGAGTCGGACGTGAGGATACTTACTCAACGACAGCATCGGATAGAGGTCATGGTACGTTGTGGGCTGAAGGAAGTGGGGAATATGAACCATATGATCCCAACCCAGTGACTCAACGGTAATGTGGTCGTCGCGTAACCTGAAGGTCCTGGGTTCCGTTCCCCGTGGGGTTGTGGGTACGCACTGCTGACAAGTCCAATACCAAGAAGAAGCAGCTTTCCAATGCTCCCAGGTTCCCCTTGTTTTCGCAGCTGATGCCAGTCCATGAAGAATACCAACATGAAGTCGACAAATAAACTTTCAAAAAACTCCAAATAACATTTTTTGGCAAAAAGATTAACAGAATACAAAAGGTGAACTGTCCTTTCCACTTTACATTTAGGTAAATGAGCGCAAACAAGTAAAATGAATGTTAACTGAGCTACTCATACTTGCAGATGAAACGCTGCATGAAAGAAGAAAGTAGGGTAAATATGATCGAAAATAAGAATAAGAACACAAGATGGTGGTACTTCATAAAATGAACTTATATCAGAATAAATTTTAAATCACTGAAGGTCTTTCTGCTGCACTTTGATAAGTTGTTGAGAAATATTTTCCTAACTGCAGTCTGTGAAATACGGGATATGATAATTTTTTATTAGTAATTTGAAATGTTTGATGTTTATCAGCCAAAGTTAGTCTAGTCATTTTTCTGAATCCTGATGGCTATCAAGAACCACGTGCAACTAAAACGTTCACAGAACGGATGTCTGATGATTCTGGTGGTTACACCAGATAAAATTTTCCAGCTCATTATCTTCATTTTTAGCGGTTTTTATCTGCTAGAAATAACACTTTTTGATAATTTATGTAAACTGTGATCAATCTTTGACTAAAAACAGTATCCCAAATATTGGACGCCGAGGAAAAAGTTAACATCAGATAGATTATATTTGTACAAGTCACACAATGTTTGAAATGAAATAATTCCAACATTTCACACAGAAGTCTGATCGACTTTTTTTATATATCAGCGATATATCTTTGATATTATTTCATTGGAACTATCTTGATTCAAACACCCAATAACTAATACGAAGATAAGCAATTTCTGATGCCAGTTTTGATAAGTTTGCAGACATACATTTCTGGTATTTTGCTGTAAATTCAGCCGAAGGGCGTTTGGAACAGAAGATATTAAAAGAAAGGTGAATGAATAAAGCTTAAAACCTCCGCATGAAACTAGCCCTCCCTATGAATACGAATGACTTAGTGTGCTCCACGATGACGCTGTAGTTAACTACATTTCTGTGTGTAAGAATTAGGAGGACAATTTTAGAAGTTTCAAATGATTTACACATGCACCCGACACCAACATATACAGTCTATGGTTGCTGGTTTGAGTTTTGCGAGAAAGTTTAGGTTCTGTGCCTCAGTCGACCAAACAGCCAACAAGGCTTCGTGTAAGCTTGAGACATTTGTTCGAGTGATTAACAATGGTGTTACTGGATATAATTTTTACCAGAGTTCGAATTGTTAACATAGTACATTTCACTTCTCAATGCTTAGTTGTTGATAAAGGTTCTATGTTTGGCTTTCAGTGGACCTCTACCATAATTTTACCGTCAGACAACCTTTGTTTTAACATCGGATCAATACTATCTTGTTTAGGAGAACGGTGACATCCCAAAAATACATGGATAATCCGCTTAACATTCAAGTCAACACACAAAAGAATAATATACATACGCCAGAAGATCTTTGGTAAGTGAGCAGTGTAAAGCTGTAAAACTTTAATTGTTTTCAGTTTTGCAGCGATCTGCAAACTATTTTTGCGTATACCTATTCTTCATTAAATTTTTTGGTTTCAATTTAAAAACTATAAAACATTGAAATTGAATGATCACATCAATACTAACTTTTATGATTGATTTGGTTATTTCAGGTTAGTATTAAAATCATTTTTCTTGTTTGTGCATTCCCTACCGAATTACTTGTCTAGTGAATAAAATCACTTTAAACTTATTGACAGATAAAACTTGTACAACAGTTCTCTATCAACTATGAAATGAAATTATATCAAAATCTCAGTCTTCTCCGTTCATAAAATCTGGCACTCATATATTTTGGTTCAGTCTATAGTAGTGTCTGTGTCAATCATTATTTCTTCTGCATGTCGTTCGCTTTCAAATAATTTCTTTACTAAATTTTTATTATTAATGAGAAAAAATCTATCTTCTTTTCGTGAGTTATTTATTTTTCTGTCTGAATAACTGTACGTGTTAGTTTACTTTTTTTGTTTGCGCTTTTATTCAGTTTTCTACTTTTCATTGACTGATTCATGTTCTTTCAAACACAGTACTACAAAATTTTTGGGCGGAAAAATATATATCGAAAAAAAGATGATCGTGAGGCAGAGAAAAAGGCGTATGATTAGTGGAACTGTCGATAATTGTAGTCAGGACAGCGTTAAGGGATAAATGCTCTGCCACATTTCTTTTTGAGTCTTTCAAAATATAAAGTAAGGCGTAGCATGCAACATTTAGTAAGAATAAAGTATTACAGCTTTTCTTCTCATTTGCTTTATCTTTTGTTTAAATCATATACTCCGTCAGTCATAGACTATAGGAAAAACTATTTGAGCTTTTGTTTCAGTTTTTGAAAAAGAAATTACTCTATTTATAAACCTAGACACAAATTTCCAGTAATACCGTAAATGTTTAGTACATTACAATCATAAGAGATCGGTTATTTTATAATTGTTTTTTATTGTGTAAGAAGCCTCTGTCATACGAAGAATACAGTTTGTCTGCACTTAACCAGAAAAGTGACTGACGTTTTTACCATCTAAAAATCAAGTGCTTTTCAAATTTCCACAACAGTTTTCAGTTCCACCTTCGCAAAAAATAAGGAACTTTGATACTCAGTAATCCAAGTTTTGATTTTCAGCTGGATAACTTGATCAACACTATTTCTTCATAGGTCTTCCTTTTCGAATTCACTAGTGAAAATAATATTCACTTCAATTTCGCTCGAGTTTCTAAGTGTGTTCAACGACTTCAAGCTCACGACTTTTAATTCTTCAGTGGAACTGAGTATGTGTAGTAAAGAGGTTGTTGTCATCTTTTTGAAAAGAAAACAGCTTGCATTTCATGGAGTTATTCTCTTTTACCCTGATTTCGATGGTTCTGATAACATTTTTGCCGAGTTAAATAAGTACACATGCCTTTTTTGAAAACAATGGATTTATCACCATATTTATTTCTGTATAAAAATTATTAATCCGTCACTTGACTTAAAGCCTGACTACAAGCTTAAAATATAAAAATACCTTTCACTTATGTCACCTTATAAGCAGTGAGAAGATGAAAAAATGACAACGAAATTCCCCGAACTAATCAAAACACTTTTAGACCTGTCGTTCTCGAATGAATTGTATGTTACTTTCATCGAAGTCAAAATATCTACCCACAGCTGTCGAATAACTCCAATGACAGCCTAAAACAGCCTGCTTATTCTAGAAACCTGAGGATTTTTGTTGTCAATATAATTTCTTACCTTGAATCTAAGAAAGATCTGCATAATTCTTCCCTTGATTACTCTTCTTAAATTTGTTTAATAATGACTTTTCTCTGGTGCTACTTCAATAATATGCTTCGAATATGTCGTACAAAACAACTTGACTGGTTCTTGTTCATGAAGATAAACAGATATGGCTTTTGAAACAATGTTTTACAAACTTTAATTTGTTTGTCACTACACAACGTTAACCTAAGAGCACTTTAATCCCCTGACTGAGCTAGATTACGTAAAATAATTCTAAAGGTCACTCTAGAAGTTGCTAAAATAAACCAGAGACCTTCAGGTCCCATGGCCGGAACGTTACCATTGAGCCACTGGGTCTGAATTCAGTGTCGAGGTCGTGTATGCGCACTGCTGAGGATTCCGATGCTAGGACGAATCAGTTATCCAGCGTCCCCAGGTTTCCAATGTTCTTCCAATTGATGTCAGTCCAGTAGGAATTCCAACGTAAAACTATAAATATCAACCACTGTAGACAAAGTAAAGTCCTCTATAGTTATAATGGGTTACCAGAATAGTTCAAAATAGTTCCTGAGACAAACAAGAATTGAGGTAATGAAAAAACCATATACAACCCATGAACATATTAAAATGTATAGAAAGTGACTATATTAACTGTAATCTTACCTGTACGAAAGTTCACACCGATATCAATGAGAAATACCGTATCCGATACACAGTTAAATACAATCCAGTGAAAACTTAAATCATCATTGAAAAAAGATATTGCCACTGGTAGAATAATAAGATTTGCAATCAGTAACAACAGCATGATTAAATCCCAATAAAACCTACAAAGCAAAAAAGAATATGATAAATTTATGCTGCTAGTCAATCGGTTCACATCCTATTAAAATCGAATCGTATTGGGTCGACAGTGGTCATTTAATGCAGAAATACAAAGGGTTCGAGATCACTTATCACCTTCCTCAAAACTCATCAAATGGGGGCTGCATTTGCAAATGACATATGGCTGAGATTATGGAATTAAAAGAAACAACTCTTGTCTTTATTTGATGAGAACAATTGTACTACTATTGCCTCTACTTCAACCAGAGAGAATTTGATAAACGATTTTAAGGGTGAAATCTGTCTTAAAGTCCTTTTCTTTCTTCCCCTCTTCTAGCTACATGTCATATTTCTTTAGACTTTAACTACCTCCAAACTTCATTCTTTAGTACTGTGCAACTTTTAGCTTCGAAATTTTAACCTACACTGATTGTTCAAATGTCTATGGTACCATGCTGTTTTCATTATCCTTATCATCACTAGGACATATCCTAACATTATAATATATAAGTGAACTTATGCATACCAGGATAAAATTTCAGGAAACCTAATTAAAGACAGTATTATTAGCTAACATGATCTGTTCTAAGAATGAATTCCTCATTATTGTAATCAGATTAGCCTGCCTAGTGCAAAGCACTATTGAAGGCATTTCGTTTGATTAGAAATATCTCTTATTCACGACCTCAAAGATTCGATGCACACGGGAAGTGAACTTTCTTAGCAATTTATCTAATGCATTTCAATCCTCATAGTTTTTGCAACCCCAGTCGTCATCTTTTATATACCCCTGTATTGTCACTTTTATACTGACAGTGGGTGATGACTGAAGGTGAAGTGGAAATTTCAACCGCGGCCGGCTTAGAATTAGCAACCACCGGGTTTCCGGGCCCAATTCTCTACCAACTTAGCTACAAAGTCCTTATTGTATTCTTGTAGTGACTACTTGATATAGCTTTGTTTATGAATATATGGACGCTCTTACAATAACCTTCAGATTCCACCCTTAATGGTCACTTAGTTCCTTAAACTATATAAACATATACATGAGTGGTGAGGATGAGGAATCAATGTGTGATAAGACACTTTTGTATGTTAACGATTTAGAGTGATGTGGTTGACATAAGTATCACTTAAAATGTGCATCTTTGAGTTATTTGTTTTATACCCTTGATCGATGAAAACATAATTTTCAGCCAAACAAACCTAGGGTTTAAAGAATCTGACTGACAGTAATAAGTTAGCAACGGCTTAGGTTATTTGTTAAAACTTTAAGCTTTTATCAACCCTGATAATGTAACTAGAAGACAAAGTGTATCTTAACAATGTGATTTATCTTCGCAGTACATTTCCAATTACTCAGTCGTATGTTCACTTGTCAAGTCAGCCTATATAAAACAGAAAAATGGGAGGGTAAACAAAAAAGTTAAGATAGTAGGAGATTAAAATTAAGAAAGATAAAAAAGGAAGAGTGATATATTTGATCCTAATCTTAGTAAGAAGTCAGAGTTTATCAAGGTAGATTTAGTGTGAGAGCAAGTTGCTTTTGCACACGCAAAGGTGGTTCGAATTTACTCATAGCTAAATAGTAAATATGAGTCAATCACCGTGTCCCCATTAATTTACTAAAAGCAACAGGATGCAGAACATTACTATTTGCTGATATGCTTGTAGTTATCCGTTGTTTTTCCTGAATCGAATTATTCGACCTCACTGGCCTAGTGGATAATGCTCTGGCGTTTGAGCTATGGGTAGCCACAACCAGGTAAATAAAGCTACAGAATACTTCAAATGAAAGACCTATTGAACTCAACTTAAATCATGTGTACAATGGGAACAATTGTAGTCATTAATACTACTTTGGCTAGTCTTAGAATCGGCAACTCACTGGCGCAACTGATTTCGACCACTAGCTACCATTTTATCGCCTAAATTATTGATTATTTTGAAATTATATTAACGACGGATTGCCATAAAAGCTCCCACCGTCGTTAACACGCATTCATTCTGCTACTGAGCAACATGGATATGTCACTGATGAACCTAAGGGAAATGTTGTAGCGAAGAATATTCCTCATTCGTCAGACAGTTTTTTGACTTATCGGATGTTCATCTAATGCTCTGAAGTAGATAAAATAACTTTAATACAAGTATGAATAGGGCCCATGAACAGCTGAAACTATTAAAATACAACTGATAACAGCAATTCAGCATACCTAGCACGATACCTTACTGTAACCATCAATAATTTATCCACTTGGAAATTACCTCTTTTTCTGTTCTTACACTTTACAATGCCACTCAACATTGCATTTTCTATGTTTTTTCATTGCTCCCCAATCCGTCATTATCACTTTCGAAGATATATATATGTACATATATAGTCACAAGTAACTCTGACTATATCAATAATTATACATGGTTCAAATACTCAAAAAACTCAAGATCATATTCATATTTTAAAATCCCACTTATATGACCAGGATTATCGCGTATGAAAAAAGCATTAGTCAAATCCAATTAGATCAGTGTTTCAGATGAAATTTAATAGCATAGAAAAGATGAACCACGAACCTAACGAATGTATCCGCTAAATCAAAGCTAATATGGGTGACTATTCGTTATCATCATACAATACTTATTCAGTTATTTAATTAGCAACACTTCCCGAATGTTGAAAAACAATATTTAGCGAAATTTAACTATTGTGCTCCACCTCCGCAATAATGGAATAAGATAAATGTTTAACTGTAAGCATCCTAACTTTTAAAAGGTGTGCTCATCTTAGAGGTATTACTCACCATGTACTTGAGACTTCATTGGAAATAAGAATATATTGATTAAAATACAGAGATACCTTGAATACAGGTGAGAAACCTTTCCCTATTCCCTGTAAACGTTTTGAGATAGATGCTGAACTGAATGGTCTCAAATGGATGAAAGAGTGATTTGTTTTTAGACTAATCCAATATAAATGATGGAACCTAAATTATCTCAGATTGCTTACTTAATTGTCAATTATATTTTATGCTAAACCCTTATTCTTTCTTACCTAGAATTAATGTCAGCTATAGACTAGTTGTTTAAGTTTTGCACGAACTTTAAAATACTGAGGAAAATTTTCATCTCTAATGTCTTTCGATATGAAGTTACACCTGATTTTGTATGGTGTGAGTCGATCGGCAGAAAGCTCTGGTTGACCTAGTTTTCATGCTTTTCGATACCCTTCAGAAAGGTGGATAGGCAAACATGAGGAGACTGTTGTTCTATTGGTAGTCCGAACCGGCGGTAATCAGTGCTGAATTCAGAGACATGATTAACAATTTAGCTACTACAGACAGCTACTAGAAATGGATTATATACAAGAGTTATTTAACAGCGGGTAAGCTATGAATCTGTCTAGCTATTAGTGCTTAGCATTGATGGTAGCCTATAGATCATGTTTTGCCTGCATAGGTAATAAATATCTGTGCCGGATTATAAGCTCTTGTCAATACATTTATGTGCACTTTCACAAACACAAAGAATAAATTAAGATATCTACCAATTAAAGCCCACTTCCTACTCAAACGCTCTTATAAATTAATAAGTTGATCCGGAAACGTAAATTCCGAATCACAGTTTTTCCGAACAACTTTCTTATTCAAAGTATGCACAACTGACCCATAGTCCTTCGTATACAAAATTCTTTAGAGCAAGAATTATTTACGTTTCTATTTTTACTACTGCTGTTACCATTACTATAACGTGCTTATTTATTACCATGCAAAGTCACGAACAAACTCGCTCATGTATCACATTCTTTTCAATTTAATAAACTTTTGTATGACATCCGTTTTGACTGTAAATACTGAGGGAGATATATTCTCAAACCAATTGAAAGTTTCAGAAAACACATGTTACTACTAGTTTCCTTCAGCAGTAAAGTTCAAGGTTGAATAACATTTATTTTAAGCATATGTGCCTAAATGCTTATCTTCTGAATCCTATGCAAAGGGTAAATACATTTGATACACAGGGTATAGAAAATACTTTACTAGTATAGAAGGTTAGACGTGAAATAAAAGCTACAGAAGTGAGTTTCGGACTTCAAGGTTGATTTATTCCCGAACTCAGAACCTCCAGGATTCGTTGAGATCACATTAACATTCAACCACTAGTTAGGAGTCCAGTCGTACACATCTTCTTGCTTGTATTAACTGGTGACGCTGCACAGTCATCATCCACTGTAATCAGTAAACATTCGCTACACTTCCAACTTCGTCTGAGTTTCTCATTAGGACTTCAGAAAATCCGTCTTGAAACATGTCACTAATGAGCATTAAACGGTATTTCATTTTGAATATTTGTGGATATTGATTAATTTCAAGGGGATATCCATCATGAAATGACATCATATGACAAACCACTGGAAACCCAGAAGAACTATACCACTGTTTCGTCATAGTATGGAATCATATGGGATTGTGAGTACACACTGCTGTGAAGTCATATAGTATGGCGAAATAGTTGTCCAATTCTCGCAGATTTTCAGTGCTTCTTCAACTAATGTCGGTCCGTGATGAATACTGACTCAAAGGTTATTTAAATAACTAAATGAGTGATTTGCAGATAGACAATAAATAAACTTTTCACTTGTAGTGAAATTGAAAGGTTTTTTGGAAATTTTACAACACCAACATCAAATCAGTTCTTCTGTATGGTTCAGAGACTTGGCGCGTTACGAAAGGGATTTCCAATAAACTGCAGACATTCATCAACAACTGCTTACGCTGGCTCGCTACTGAAGATCAGATGGATTGCCAGAAAGAATAAGCAACAAGGAGCTCTGGGAACGAACCAACCAAATACCTATCACCCAACAAATATACAGAAAGAAGTGGAGATGGATTGGGCATGCACTGAGAAGGCCGACTGGGGACATCACGCTTCAGGCCCTCGAGTGGAATCCCGATGGGAAGCGACGAGTTGGGCGTCCGAGGCGAGGGTGACATGGAGGAGA